GGACGTGAAGCGGTGTCAGGCTCGACATCCGTCCACGAGATCCAATGTCCAACGGACCTCGATGAATGTCCAAAAGGAACTTGATTCTGCCGAGATTCATTTGCAGCTCTCGCCTGCCCCACACCAGACCAGTCTGACCAGCGAGACGAGGTGCTGTACACAAGTGGCTGAAGGCCAGGTTCGATCATCATACCCCTTGGGAATTGGTCTCGTAAAGTGGTGGGAGACGCGTTTTTGTAGGCTACAGAGCGTTATAAAAAGGTTCCATGCGGTGGAGAGTCGACCTTATACCTGAAACCTTTTGATTGCCTAGGTATACCGCGAGCTTTTGTTACAGCCTATCCTCAATCATGGTGGCTTCTCTGGTAGTTCTGCGCTCGCTCATCAGCCACACACTTGCCAAGAGATGAACGATCACCCTGGAACTTCACTTCTCTGAAGTGACGTGTGAATTATGGCGGGTGGTGGTGGGTCGCTGGACAATAGTAGTAATGCTGCGAGCAGCAGCAGCTGCAGCAGTGGCATTAGCTCGCGATTCTCCAGCTTTAATTCATCATTTCCGACAGGCTTCTGCATTAGAGACAGCAACATGGGTTTTTTTTTTCGGGAGTCTGGCGGAAAATTGCACTCAGCAGCTCCTTGGTCTCAAAATGACGAGCAATCCGTTTTAAGCTTCACCAGTACACGCAATCACAAACCCTCGACCAGCCTGGGTTGGGAAAACTCCAGTAGGCTCAGCACTGCCTCCGATCTAGGTTCGGGCTCCAGCAGGTTCGGTAATGCTTGGGGATCCAGGCCTACCAGGTATGGTTTTCTCCGAGGCAGTAGCTACGGGTTTGGATTCCAACGCAAGCCTCCGATCCGCTACGTTAGGTCCGGCACTCGACCGACCCTCCAACCGTTTGAATCCGCAGGGCAGCACGAACCTTCCCCCACTCCTCGCTACGTCCGGTGGCCGACAGATCAGGCTCCCCGAGAATCTCCAGTTAGCCGTCAAGCGTACTTTCAACAATACACGTCAGCAGCAGCGGTGTACACGTCACCCGGATCGCAGTACACGTCAGCAGCTGCAGCAACGCCCACGGCCACCAATGACGCGGCGCAGCCGGCAGCAGCGGATCCGGCCTGTGAATTGCGGATTGGAGGGATGGGTCGCATGGGTGGAGGATCTACCCCTATAAGAACTACTGCTGTGCCGCTGGGTGTTCCTGTAGCGGAGGGTCTGCAAACGCAGCCTGCTGTAACGCGTATGACAGCTGGTCAAGCTGGGTCAGGAGCTGAGCAGGAATTACCCCCGAATAAGAGGCTTGGATTCGAAACTTCCCCTCTGTTTGTTGAAAAACCGGCCGTTGTTGCCGCTGCGGGTGGTGCTGATGCAACTGGCAGGGATGGCGCAGATAGATCGGCCGAGGAGGGGAGAACAGGACGGGAGGAGGAAGAGGGAGGAGAGGAGAGGGAAGAGGGTAGGGGAGAGAGGAGAGAGGGAGGATCGGAGCAGAGGAACGGAGGAGGGGAAACGCGAGGAGCAAGGAGAAGACGAGAGGACAACGAAGAACCCCCGAGTAACACAGACAAAAGGCTTCGCCGCCCAGCGATTGTAACCCAAGCGCAGGATAACAACCCAGACTTGAATCCCGACCTGAATACGCCTTCACATACTGATCTAAACGCTGACGCGCATCGCCACCTGACCGCGCTCTCGCTCTCCACCGCTCCCCTCTCGCCCCAGTACCCTCCCGCTCCTCCGCGCCGAGCCGCCACCAGGATCGGGCAGCTCATGCTCATCCGAGCCTGCCACAGCGAGCAGCTTCGGCGGTTCAGCCTCGGCACAGCCCTGGGGCTGCGCACGAGGAACGGGATTCTCACGGACCTGCCTGCAATCATTGTTTTTGTGCCTCGGAAGGTTCATGAGCAGTGGCTGCTGCCTTCCCAGATGCTTCCTAGCAAGCTGCAAGGACCAGACGGGTACGAGTGCGACGTGGATATAGTCGAATTCTCTTATTACGGTGGGCATGGGGGAGGTGGGGGTCCGGCACAGCAGCCGCAGCTAATTAGTAACGAATTAGTGGAGAGATTAAGAGGCAGTGGTTCTAGGATCGGCCCGGGATCGCAAATTGCGAGCGAGGAGATGTATGGGACGCTAGGAGCTATAGTTAGGAGCCTGACTGAGCCACGTGGTTTAGGGTTTCTGACTAACAGACACGTGGCTGTTGACTTTGACCAGCCGAAGCAGAAAATGTTCCACCCGCTGCCGTCTTCGCTAGGTCCGGGGAAGTACCTAGGCTCGGTGGACCGAGCCTCGTCGTTTGCCTCAGACCACCTCTGGTACGGCGTGTTTGCTGGGCAGAGCCCGGAAACTTTTGTTCGGGCAGATGGGGCGTTCATTCCGTTCCATGAGGAGTTTGACGTGGGTCTGCTGACCACGTGGCTGGAGGGGATTGGGCGGATTGGCAAGCCTCACGAGATCAGATTACAGGACGAGATTTTCAGTGTGGCAGGGCAGCATGTATGTAAGGTGGGTGGCACGTGTGTAAGGTGGGTGGCACGTGTGTAAGGTGGGTGGCACGTGTGTATGGTGGGTGGCACGTGTGTAAGGTGGGTGGCACGTGTGTAAGGTGGGTGGCACGTGTGTATGGTGGGTGGCACGTGTGTAAGGTGGGTGGCACGTGTGTAAGGTGGGTGGCACGTGTGTAAGGTGGGTGGCACGTGTGTAAGGTGGGTGGCACGTGTGTAAGGTGGGTGGCACGTGTGTATGGTGGGTGGCACGTGTGTAAGGTGGGTGGCACGTGTGTAAGGTGGGTGGCACGTGTGTATGGTGGGTGGCACGTGTGTAAGGTGGGTGGCACGTGTGTAAGGTGGGTGGCACGTGTGTAAGGTGGGTGGCACGTGTGTAAGGTGGGTGGCACGTGTGTAAGGTGGGTGGCACGTGTGTATGGTGGGTGGCACGTGTGTAAGGTGGGTGGCACGTGTGTATGTGTGAGGTTAGGAGAGGAGGTGTGTGTGAGGGGGAGGGTAGTTGGGGAGGGGGGGTGGGTTGGTGGGTGGTTTGGTGGGTGGGTTGATGGGTGGGTGGTGCAAGCTGCTAGAGATAGGATTGCAGAATGACCATCTTAGGGTTTTGGGTATAGGTGCAAGGTGGTGTGTGTGCAAGGCAGTATAAACCCTTCATCTCTCCCCCCCTTCTACCTTCCCCCATGTCTCCTCTCAGGTGCACAGCAGCTCGGGGCAGCACTTGGGCCTCACGCTTCCCCCCCTCTCCCTTCTCTCCCCTCAGGTGCACAGCAGCTCACGCTTCTCTTTTGAGAATTCTCAAAAGTGATTCCCACTCAGGCTCACTTGGGAAAGAGTGATGGCGTGTACAGGCTACAAGGGAGGACAAAATTCCCACTCTTACTTTGTCACCCTTTTGCTTCCTCTCTTCACCGCCCCTCTCCACTCCACCCTTCTCCCTCCTCTCTCCTCCCCGCTCTCCTCTCCCTCCCCTCGTCTCTCATCTCTCCTATCTCTCTCCCCATCCCCTTCCTCAGGTGGGCAGCAGCTCGGGCCTAACGCGGGGCACGGTGATGGCGTATGCAGTGGAGTACAACGATGACAAGGGCAACACGCTCTTCACGGACCTCCTCGTGGTGGGGGAGGACGGGCTGCCCTTCGACGTCGAGGGGGACTCGGGCAGCCTCATTCTCATGCACGCCCCTGCCCCTGCCCCTCACGTCCCGTCTACACACGCCCCTGCCCCTCACGTCCCGTCTATACACGCCCCTGCCCCTGCTGCTGCTACTCATGCGCCTGCCCCTGCTGCTGCAGCTGCTCACGCCCCTGTCAGTACTGCAATGCACGCCCCTGCCGTTGCTGCTGCTGCTACTCATGCCCCTGTGAATGCTGCAACTCACGCCACTGCTGCAGCGCAACCCCCTGCAAATGCCGCCACACAAGCCCCTGCCAACACTGCTGTGCAACCCCCTGCGGATGCTGCTGCGCAGGCTCCTGCAAGTGCTGCAACAAGTGTGCCCACGAGCTCTGCAATGCATGCGACCAGTGTTGAGGCTCTTCCGAAGGACACTGCTGGAGCTGGAATGCATGTGGACACGGCAGTGCACACGGCTGCAGATGCGCTGGTTAATGCTGCTGCGCATGTCCCCATGCATGCTCCTAGACCTGTCGCAATGTGTGCTCCAATGGATGTTTCAGAGCAAGTGCACGCCCCCCCTCATGCTTCAGAGCATGCGCATGCTCCCACGCTTGCTTCAACGCATGCTGCAGGGCATGCTGCAGGGCATGCTGCAGGACATGCTGTAGGGCATGAGGGCGCACATGCTCCCATGCATGCCCCCATGCATGCTCCCATGCATGCTCCCGTGCATGCTCCTATGCATGCCCCCATGAATGCTCCCACACATGCTTCAGCGCATTCTCCCACACGTTCTTCGGGGCATGAAAGTGCACATGCGGCCCTGCATGGCTTCATGCAGCATGGAATGGAGTTGCCGCCGCAGCTGGGGACTCCCCACCAGCAGAGGCAGCAGCAGCAGGAGGAGCAGGAGCAGAAGCAGGAGCAAGAGCACCAGCAGGAGCAGCAGCAGCAGCAGCGGCAGCAACAGGATTCACACTCTCACCGTCACCACCACCAGCAGGAGCAGCCACAGCACCAGCAGCACCAACCACAGCAGCAGCAGCAGCACCAACCGCAACACCAGCAGCAGCACCCTCAGCACCAACAGCAGCAGCACGAGCGAGACCCACAGCACCATCCCCACCACACCACCCACCATCACAACACCTGCCCATACCACCAGCACCACCATCATGCCTTAGACTGCAGCGCTGGCCACGGTCCAACCCACAGGGAAGCTACCACCACCGCACACCACCCATCTCTCCACCCTCCGTACCTCTCCCACGGACCTTCACCCTTCGCCATCCACCCGTCACAGAGAGAAGGGGCGGGGCAGGCAGAGGGGAGAGAAGAGGGGTGGGAGGGGGTGGGGCACAGTCACGAGCCGATGCTGGTGCCTGTGGGGATGATATGGGGGGGCACTGCGAATAGAGGGAGGCTGAAGCTGCGGCAGGGGAATGTGAGGGAGAATTGGACGAGCGGGGTGGATTTGCATCGGCTGCTCACGCTGCTGGATCTTGAGATGGTTACCACCGATGAGGAGTTACAAGGTACGTATGAAGTAACTTCTGGGTCAACTCAAAAGTATCCTGATGAAGAGTTAGTTACAAGGTGGTATGAGGTCATGGTCCTTCCAGGGCTTCTCACACTGCTGGATCTTGAGATGGTTACCACCGATGAGGAGTTACAAGGTGCGTATGAGTCTAGCTGGTTACCACTTGGTTACCACTGACTAGTTTCTAGTTTTGAGTCGACCCAGAGATGGTTACCACAGATGAGGAGCTGTAATTGGTAACCACAGATGAGTTGACTTGTTGACTCTACAAGGTCTATATGGAAGTAATTGGTTCTTGATACCTTGCTGTTCTTCAATGTGAATGAGGACCCCTGGAACCCTCATTGAGGATTCTGAAGAACTAAGGAGTTACAAGGTGTTTATGAGGTGTATAGTCCTACTAGGGCTTCTGACGTTGCTGGATTTGATATGATTACCACTGATGAGGAGTGACAAGATGTGTATGAGGCGCGTGGTCCTAGTAGGGCTTGTGAGCTATGGTATGGCTGGTCAGGATCGGTGGTGGATTGGTGCAAATGCACAATTCAATTGTAGGTGACAAAACTTACTCTCACCCCCCCTGTGTCCTTTGTTTTGTTGCTGTCATGCTGGCCTGTCTCTGGTTCTCTGGGGTCCCGTTGTCTGTTGTGTTGTTGGTTGGCCTTCAGAGTATGCCTCGGCCCAGGCACAAGCAGCAAAGGCAAGACGGGATGCTAGCCGAACATCTTCAGATCAGGGGAAAATGCCCTAAGTATCTTGATTTTTTTTAGACGGGGAATTTTCCAGCTACCCCAAGTTGTAGTGCATCTTTAAAGCCAGGGTTTCCCAAACATTGACTAACCATGATGACTGCAGCCTTCTATGGAGACTCTTTTCCTGCATCCTCGTGTTCCTGTAATTTCACCTGTCAAGGCATTCTGGGAGCATTCTCCCGTCCACCACATTGCCCATCCAGATGCACGATCGAAGGGCTTGTTGAAATGAGGAATGGATGATGCAATGATGTTGGTTGGGGTACATATAGCTAACCCTAAGTTTTGTACCCCCTAAGACAATCCTCACTATAGGCTACAACATTTGACACACCCCCATAGCCTAAGTGAGGGGTGTCTAGCAGAACCAAAAGAGTACGGTCACAAGACCAGTCCAAGAAACAAAGCTCAGGGTGGATCACAACGTCACAAAACACTCTGAGAACAAACACCAGTGGCCACAAGGCCAGTCCAAGAACTCACAAGATATACAGCAAATGTACAAGCAAGACAAACAGTCAACTCAAGTCTACACAAGACGAGAACCAGTGTCAACAAGGCCTAACTGCACACAGCACCTCTGGTGGTCACAAGGCGGAAGCGCCTTGGTGAAGATGTCTGCAGTGTTGGCCTCGGACTCCACAAACTCGAAACGAGCCTGTCCACGTCTCTGCAACTCTCGCAGAAGAAAGTACCTGACGTGAATGTGCTTCACTCTGCTCTCCAGTCGCGGCTCTCGACAAAGGAGAATCGACGCCTTGTTGTCAGTGAACAAGGTCGGTGCAGAGCTCGGCCGCTCACCAAGGTCGGCAAGCAAGAACGTCAACCAACGCAGCTCCTGTGCTGCCATGGCACCAGCGTAGATCTCAGCCTCAGCTGTAGAGGTCGAGACCGAAGAGGAGCGCGTGGACCGCCAGGAAACAGCTCCAGAACCCAGGCTGAAACAGTACCCCTGAGTAGACCTGTGAGTCTCAGCGTCGTCAGCGTAAGAAGAGTCACAGTGACCAGTAAGTACGACAGACTGCTGCCCTCCAAGAACTAGCCCCACGCCTGATGTCGTCGCTAGGTACTTCGCCACCCTCACAGCCGCCGTCCAGTGAACAGGACGGTGTCTCCCTAGCGCAACAAAGCGCGCAAGGACGCTGAGAAGGAACGCGAGGTCCGGGCGAGTACAAGTCATCAAGTACATGAGGCAACCCACAAGCTCTGCGTAGGGACCACTAGGCTCAAACGGCTCGTCAGGAAAGGGTCCAGTGAGTCTGTGGTCAACAGCAAGAGGTGTGCGCTGTACTGTGGAGTGCTGAAGCTCGAACCGCTGAAGGACCTGCTGCACCATGTGTGACTGTGAAAGTGTAATGGTGTGAGCAGCTCTGTCCCTGGTGATCTGTAGGCCAAGGTAGTGGCGCAGCTCACCAAGGTCAGTGCAGGTGTGTCTCTTTTGCAGTTCGGACTTCACGTCTGCCAAAGCAACCCTGTCAGCAGTGGCGAAAACGAGGTCGTCGACGTAGACCAGAACAAAGAACGGTGTGGAGCCGCGACGAACGAACAGCGACGGGTCGGCAGAAGACGGTTGGAAACCGAGGTCAGACAGGGTAGAACGCAGAGTGTCGCGCCACTCACGAGGGGCCTGGCGAAGACCGTAGACAGGTCGCCTCAGCCTCCACTGGGTCCCAGGAGGGAAGGTGCCAGTGAAGGCAGAGGGACGACGCAGCCAGACCTCCTCGTGAAGACTGCCCTGAAGGAAAGCAGTGGAGAAGTTGAGAGAGTGTAACTCGTAGTCTCTCTGTGCTGCTACATGCAGTAACACCCGAAGAGTGGTCATCTTCGGGGTAGGCGCGAAGGTCTGAAAGAAGTCAACTCCCTCGCGCTGACTGAAACCTCTAGCCACGTAACGCGCCTTGAAGACCGGGGGAGATCCCGGTGGCCGCTTCACCCTGTAGATCCACATGCCGTCGACTACGTTCGCCCCAGGAGGGGGAACCTCATCGACGTACGTGCCTGTGGATCTGTAGGAGGCCATCTCTGCGTCCATGGCAGCTCTCCACTGAGAGGCCCAAGGCCCTGACACTGCCTCAGCGTAAGTGCGAGGAGTCGGAATGTCAAGGGCGTCTGGGTCACCCTCAGGGGCGAGGAGCATGGCACAGAGATGAGGGGAAGCGGTTGCCAGGAACTCTAGCTCAAACTGCCTGTCCTCTAGGGCGTCACAGCCAAGGGCAGACACACCCCCGACGGCCAGAGGACTGGAAGGAGGAGCAGCCACAAGACCGGTGGCGAAGTCAAGGCGGCGGGTAGAGGCAAAGTCAGTGACTGCGGCAGTAAGAGCGGACACAGAGGACACAGAGGCACGAGGGTGAGTAACAAGCGAGGCGAGAACACGAGAGAGAACAGGACGGTACGTGCAGTAGTAGTCAGTGACAGGAGTAGGGAGCGACGCAGTGAGGGCCGACTCAGGAGGAGACGGAAGCACAGACGGAGACGGACGAGGTGGACTAGAACGAAGTAAGGCAGTACGAAGGTCAGTGAAGGGAACAGGAGATGAGGGACGAGCACGAGGGGAGCGACGAGAGGCCCAAGTCTGAGAAGGAGGAGGCAAAGTCAAGGCGGCGAGTAGAGGCAAACTCAGTGACTGCGGCAGTAAGAGCGGAGACAGAGGACACAGAGGCACGAGGGTGGGTAACAAGAGAGGCGAGAACACGAGAGAGAACAGGACGGTACGTGCGGTAGTAGTCAGTGACAGGAGTAGAGAGCGAGGCAATGAGGGCCGACTCAGGAGGAGACGGAAGCACAGACGGAGACGGACGAGGTGGACTAGAACGAAGTAAGGCAGTACGAAGGTCAGTGAAGGGAACAGGAGACGAGGGACGAGCACGAGGGGAGCGACGAGAGCCCTTTGTCTGAGAAGGAGGAGGGGACAACGAAGACTGAGAACGAGGGAAAACAGCGGGAGAGGGGTCAGGAGGAGGAAGCGGAGGACCAGAGACGGGAGGAGAGGGGGAGGAGGAAGGAGAGCGAGAGGGGAGACCAAGGGTCCGAAGATCCGAGATAGGAGGAGGAGGCGGCTGCTGCTGCTGCTGCTGCTGCTGCCGCTCCTGCTCCTCCAGCCGCTGCAACTCTCGCTCCTCTCTCTCCAACTCCAGCTGCTTCTCACAAGCACGGCGAACACGAGCCTGAAACCTGGTCGGGTAGGGGTGGGGGGTAGTAGTAGTGTCCGGGGCAGCGGCAGCTACAGAGTCCACCTCCGAAGCACCAGGCACACCACCCCCAGAGTCAGCACCAACACCAGCTCCAGACCCAGACGCACCAGAAACCGAAGGGGTCTCACTCTCACCCCCAGACGCAGCACCCCCAGACTCCGCACGACCAGCACCAGCTCCCGGAAGACGAGAGTCCTCTGCAACCCGCGGCTCAGCTCCAACTCCAGCACCCCCAGAACCAGAAACCGGTACAGGAACTGTCTCAGTACCAACCTCTCTAGAGCGAGCACCTGCAGGACGCGGCGAGGAAGACTGTGGGGAGGGAGGCTGTACCGGAGGGGCTACCGAAGGGGGAGGGGTAGCCTGGGACACACCGGACGGGGCTGGACCAGGGGGGGGAGGCTGTACCGGGGGAGCAGGAGGGGGAGCGGCAGTCAGGAAGAGGGGGGGGAGGGACCGGGAGACCTCGACTGGGGTACCTGACGTAGTAGGGGGTGGACTCCTCAAAACGGACGTCACGGGAGTAAAAAAACCGGTGAGAGGGAGGGTGGTAAAAGGTGAAGTCAGAGGAGTCCTCAGGGAAACCAAGGAAGACACAAGGAACGGCGCGAGGCGAGAGCTTGTCCGCGGAGGTGTCGCGGACAAGAGCCAAGCACCCCCAGACACGAAACCTCGACGCAACACCAGGGGACCCGGTCCAAAGACTGGTCGGTGAAGCCTCTGGCCGAGAGACGCGTGGCCAGAGGTTCAGCTGGTGCGCGGCGGACCTGATCGCGTAGGGCCACAGAAAATGGGGGGCACGGGCGTGAGTCAGGGAGGTGCGGGCGATCTCCATGACCAAGCCTATGCGGCGCTCAGCAACCCCATTCTGTTGTGGGGACTCTGGAAGCGTCCAGGACTGACGAATGCCCTGCTCGCGACAGAATCCAGCAAGAATGCCGGAGCGAAACTCACCCCCGCGGTCAGAGTGAAGACAGCTGACACGACGACCACGAGTGTCCTGCGTGGTAAGCAACCACCTGATCAGCGTAGAAGTCACCTCAGACTTCTTCGCCAGGGGAAACACTGTGGTGTAGCGGGAGTAGTCGTCAACGACCACCAGAAAGAAACGCTCACGCTCAGGGCCCTGACGAGAGGCAGGGCCCCAGACGTCCAAGTGGAGCGTCTCAAAAGGCTCGGTACCCGGACGAAGGGAGGAGGAGTGAGGGGTGGCGCGCAGCCTACCCTCGACGCAGGGACCGCACGGCGGCGCAAGCGAAGGCGGCAGCGACGGCAAGACACGCGGGAGGCCTAAGACAAGACGCTGACGAGACATAGCGCGCAGACGAGGAAGGGACGGGTGCCCCATCCGGTGGTGCCACAGGACGGTGGGGTGGGCAAGGGACCGGCAGGAGCAAGACGCAGCGACTGGACCAGACGCAGGAACCTGACCAGACACAGCTACCTGGGGGGAAGGAGCAACCTGGTGAGACGCGGGGACTCGAGCGGAGGGCGGAACAGGGGCCGGGGGCAGTAGGAGCGGCTGCTGCTGCGGCTGCTGCTGCGCCAGCGGGCCAGTGTGAAGAGTGTAGAGACCGGAGCCCGGCTCAGCTGTAAAGGTGGCAAGGGGCCGGTAAGAGCCCTCGTCAACACACACCGCTGTCTCACCCGAAAACCACACACCCACGTGCTGGCTCACAAGGGGTCGTACGCCCACCAAGTTCCTCGAGAACGAGGGGACGTGAAACCCAGTGAGAGACCCAGAAGGAGCAGCAGGACACGGCAAGGTGGTAGTGTGACGCGCTGCGACCGGTCCCGAGGTGGGA